CTTTTTTACATCTATTTCTTCCTTCAGCTCTGTGATTCTACTTGTATTCCGTGCAAATTTGTTTATCTTTTGTTGATCTTCGAAAGTAACGTTGACATCTTCTGCAGCCTGGAAAAAAAAAAAAAAGGTAAATACCAGACTCTCCTTAGAGTTTCTCCTCATTTATAAAACAGGGACAAGAGAACTGGGTTGTGATTTAAAGCAGGAAAGGTATATATACATGTGATTTTAAGGCCTGCTTTGGGCTCTTTGGCCAAGAACAGTAATGGCTCACAATAACCACACACCCTACCCTACACCCGGTCTCCCGTGCCCGGTGACATAAGATATGTACACTTGAGTTGCTCCAGAGGCCGTCCCGAGCGACTGGGAGCTCAGTGGGCAGAATATGAAGGCAGACGCCCGGACTTGGGCGCTCCCGTCCCAGGCTCTCCTCATCCAAGCTTCACGCGCAGCAGGCCCATCACCAAAGACCCGGAGGGTGTCCTGAAAAGGGCCCTTTCCATCACGATACACGGACATAGCTTCGAATGCTCACCCTTGCGCGTCACGTTTATGAATATGGAAGCTGGGAAACAGTGAACTACACTACAGGAACCAGAGGAAAGACCATGTGCAGATACCTTGGCATTCGAGTCATTTTGCCACAAGAACTATCCATTCCCTAAGCAAATAGGGAACAGAGAATTCGAGTTCCTGCTTGCCTGCAGTTTAAATACAGAGCCCTGACTACGTATTTATAGATGCCATTTGTCACTGTGAAGCTTTAATGGGGCAATCCACGTGAACTCACCTAGCACAGGGCTTGCCAGACACACAACTGAGGCTAACGCTCGGCTCCTGAATTTGAATCTAAATCACATGATCAGACTGACCTGCGCATGGTTTCTGAAAAGCTACAGAGACAGTTTGGCCCCGCTTTCTATCTTTCCAAAGCAGGCGTTTCCTCTTGTAGCCCCACCAAACGGCAGCTCCCACACGCGTGGCCCCTGGAGTTCATTTCCTTAACAGCGGTTTTTCTCACTGGGGTTATGGGCTCAGGTTGGAGTGGGAGGCGAAGACGCACTGAGTTATCTGCCCGCCACCCAGCGAAGCGCTGTTTCCAGCAGAAGAGGAAGAAACCCGCACCTTCAGGCCTGGCAGCCGTGACTCCCCTGTTACTCTCACTGATGTAGAACATGCCTGCGTTGCTTGAAGCTGCATTTTGGTAGGGAGTGGGTAATTCTTCACTGAGGGTAGGGGGACACTGAGGTCCGTTTACCCCCTGAAACTGTATGTACAACGGCAGGTACTGTATGTGCATCCTCCTGGAAGGGGCCTCATAGCTTTCATCAAGATTCTTAAAGGGATCCACACCCCGAAAGGTCAGGATCTCCTGCCTTAAGAGAAGCCAAATGTAGTTACTACCGCTCATCCACCCTAAGAACTCAAGGAGGAAGGCGTTACTGGGTAGTATACGAGGCAGCAGAGTAACGGAAAGTCTAAGAGTGATTCAAATCCAAGCAAGCAGGGACCATGGCCTAGTACTCGATTCTCTGGAGCCACCTCAGGTTTGTCATCTGTCAAATGGGGAAGCTATTCTTACCTATTCCTGCAGGGCTGGTAAAATACGCCCCTACCATATGGCCTGGGCATGGAGTCCCCTCTCAATAAATGATAGCTAAGCGCTTTATCTCCTGAACAACGTTTACCAAAATCATTACAAAGGAAGAACAAACCAGAGCTAAAAAAAGAAAAGTCTGCTAGGCCTAAGAGAAACATAACTGCTCAAGATTCAGGGTGAAAATTAAAATTCCCTGGACCCCAACTATCCCCTTTTCTTGAGAGTCAGCACCGTATGGGATTATGGGAAACTGAAGCATACTGCGTCGTGCCCCGCACTGAGGCTGGGTACTATCAGCAGAATCGCACCTGACAATTGTTCTCAAACCTGCGAGAAGGAAATTCTGGTAGATTTCAGTCTGCTTTTCTTTCTGTTTTTCAAAGGTATCTCCCAAGTCTCTATGACATAAAATTTTGCTTTGTATTTTTATTCACCTTTCACGCATATATTCATTGACTAATTATTTAACGTGTTTCCTGTGTGCCAGGCACTGTGAAAAGAACCGTAGTCCTACCCTCATGAATACTGGCAAGCCCACATTCTAGTGGAAAAGATGGGCAAAAAACAAGGTTATTAGATGGGGGTACAGGTGATGGTGAAAGCAGAATAGGGGTTGAAAGTGTTGGGGGGGCTGGAGAGTGAGGGGGGCTTCTTTAGATAGGAAGGTCAAAGACGGCTTCTCTAGGAGGGCCTCTGAGCAGAAATCAGACTACAGACCCCCCTGGTGGCCAACAACCAGTTCTTACAAAGCAGAACCTTGGAGATGAGAGCACTGAATCATGTCATCTAAACATTCTCACCAGAAAAGTCAGGACCCATTGGGAGGCAATGTGTTAGAAATGTTAGGTACTCCGTATTGCAAACAGTTTTTATTAAATTCAAAGGGCTCTCCCTGTGCTATTTCACACTCACTCAGTGGCATGCCTATGTTTTCTCCCAGAGGAGGCAGAGGGGGGAAAGTGTACATGTGGTTGACCAATCAGAAATGGTTTTAGCACTGGGACCGTCTACAAGATGCTGCCATCTACCATGCCAGTCTTATTACGATAAAGAAGAAAGTCCTTCATGTTTCAGCCACCACCTACCCCTCTGGGTTCTATCATCATGGTGCAACCTCCCTCCCTCCGTTCTCTGCCATTCTGGCCTTCCTTTCGTTAAATGCACTCAAGGTCTTTGCAGGAGAAACTCCCTCTCTAGAATGCCTGCTCCCTTTCCAACTTTTTCTTCCCCTCCTTATGTAATCTGATAGATCACACCTTCTCTGATCACAAAACAGGCCTTTTCCAGCCTTCATTTCACAAGTACCTGTCTTTTGTAGTTCTTATCGGAGTTGGAAATTTTAGTTTTCAGTGTGACTATTCCATTAATGCCTGCCTCTCCCCCACAGCATAAGTGCTACTCTGCTAGGAGAACAAAGGAATAAGAACGTCATTATTGCTGACCATTGTTACCTCCATCACGTAACACTGAGGCTGTGCCATATTACACGCTCACAAAGCTTGTGGAATGACTGAAAGGAAAAAACGTTGGTAATCCAACATTTTTGCAAAGTCCAGGGTTCAAGTCATCTGTTTCCATTTCCTCAATGTTTACTTCATCTCTCTGCACTTTTGCTTCCACATCTGTTAAATGGGGCCAAACCACAACTAGGATCTTCCATGATAGTAGAGGCCATCCCTAACAAGAGGGCCCAATTTAAATACAAAATAGAGGTGAAGTGAACCTCACAAACCACCGTGGCCCTGGACGCCACGCCGGTGCTCAGTAAGAACTGAATGAATGAGAGCAGCTCATCCTGGTGTGCCTGGGGCTTCCCCAGTTTCAGTGCTCCTTCAGTCTCAGGCACACAGGGATGGTTGGTCATCCTACACCAGGCACAGGAGGCCCAGGTGGCTCAGGCTATGCAGTCTGCAGAGGAGGAGAGCAAAGACAGCAAGATCAAGTGGCCCTTATGAGGAGTAAGAGCAAACCTGCACAAAACCTCGAAAGCAAATCCCTTCAGCCAGGGGAGACTCTCTTCAGACACCCAGGAGTTACAACACAGGCTCTGGAGTCCCAACACCTGTGTTTACTGAAATCCTAGCTTTGCCTCTGTGCTTGGCTTGCATCAGATGTAAAATAAAGATGAAAACAGTATCTCCTTACAAGGGCTGTAAGATTAAAATATATAACGTGTGCAACCCTCTTAGAACTGTGCCTAGCACACAGTAAAGCCTCGATAGTTATCAGATGTTATGATTCCCTTGTCTTCTCCACATTTTCTTTTCCTTCTATCTAGATATCTTCCAGCATCTGGGTAGGCTTACTGGATGACAACCCCTAAACAGGAGTTCAGCTTGCTTAGCAGGATAAAAGGTGTGCTTCGGGGGGAGAAAAACAAACCAACAAAACACCTGAGTTTGTATTCCAGCTCTTCTCCTTAGCTGAGTCACTTTCACTACTAACAGCTCTGTGTCTAAGTTTCTCCATCGGTAAAGTGGGGGGAAACCCACACCCTTGCTAAGTTGCTGGGAGGATCAGAGCTAATCAACGCCCGGCTGCTGGGCTCGGGCCCTTCGGCCTGGAGGACGCAGGGACACGGGATGTGGATAATGGGCGACTCAGGGCTGGGCACAGGGGCTCTGCGGCCAGGTAATTCAGGGATGGAGGGTCCTGCTCTGCTCCCTACAGCCGCGCAACCCTGGGCACATGACTCCAGTTCTCTGGTCCTCAGCTTCCTTGCCTGCAAAGGGCGGTACCAATACTACCCACCCTTGTGGACCTGGGAGGGTCACACGGGATAAGCCAGGTAAAGCGCCCACGTTCTGGTCAGATGCAGTCAATGGGACCTTCGCTTCCCACGCTGCAATGACAAGGCCTGGGCCGCGCGACCCTCAGGCTCTCCAGGGCCAACCTCAGCACCGAGAGGCAGCCCAGAGCCCTCCGAGGGTCCCGGCCCCGGCGCCCCGCCTCGGCTGGCCGAGAGCCTAAGAAGACGCCCAGGACGCCGGGCGTGGGCAGGCCTAACTGCGGGGCCGCCCTCCGGGCCGGGGACCTGGGCTCCGGACCCCACGCCGGGCTTCAGAGATGAGGACCCCAGCACCCCTCTCCCAACCCCTCCGCGGCCGGTCGCGGCCGGCAGCCCGAACATCCCGCACCGCGAGCGCTCCACTCACCGCCTTCTTCATGGTGGCCGCCATCTTGGGACTGGACTACCGCGCGAGGCGGGGAGGGCCTCAGCGGCGCGCTTCTCCTCCCTGCCCTCTCTCACTCCCTGTTGGCCCAGAACTCCCGCACAATACAACACCGTCTCCACGTTTCCACGTATCGGATCTTCGACGAGGGGATTCTAACGTCTAGGACTCAGGGAGGAGATGTAACCTGGAAGGACTTGGTACATGCCATTTAAAGGGACAGGCAACTCCCCGTGGGTCGACACAAAGTGAGGGGTGTGGCGAACGGCCGCAGGCTCCAGCAGCGGGCAGCAGGGGGCGCCCAGCGCGGCTGGGCAGGGCCTGGGGCGGAGCCGAGCCTAAGGCGGGGCCGGGCCTTGAGGGGATGGAAGGGAAATTCTTTTTCACCAATCCTATAAACGAATGTGGAGAAATCTACCTACCGAAAAAAGTGCTAAGAGCAAATGACCTTGGCAATAGGATGTGCGATTAATATACCCTGATAATTCAGATGGTATAAAGGAGGAAGTACTCCTATTCATTTATTGAACATTATTGAGCGATTATTGTATACTCTGACATTTGTGCCTCCCAATTCTTTTTTTTTTTTTTTTTGACCAGCAAAAGAAATACGCCTGGGGTACAGTTGAAGACTGCTGATCAGGAGGAAAATCAGCAGTCACCACTTGAAAGTACTATCCCCACTGAGGGGGGTGGGAATGGGGGTGGGGGATGAACACATTCCCTTACATCAGGGTGAAAACTAGCCACCGGCTGACTGGATCCAAGATATGTTTTTTGTTTTGCTTTATTTTGTTTTGGCCCACACAGTATTTTCCTTTACTTGAACAAACATGAAAATTAGGAGATTTCACTCCACAATATCAGATTTTTTGTTTTGCTTGTGCTTGTAAAATCAGAATCCTGGTGACCTTGAGCCTACATTTTTGCACAACAGCACCTGCTGTTGCTGATTCATCATGGCCCGTTTAGCTAACAGACCCTCTCCAGGGCCCAGCCAATCCTCATCTGCCTCATCCTGTGCTTACCTGTCAGGCATCCAGGTGTATGAACCTGTCACCCCAGGCTTCTGTTCTAAGGCATCGAAGTGAGGGGGTTCATGTGTGCATTTGTTTGAAATCTGTACCATGCTAGATGCTATTGCGAAAAGAAGGATGAATTAGACGAAATGCTTGGCATCAAAGAGCTTACAGTTGGCACACATGTATCGTCCCAATCATAGCACCTGGAGCTGCAGCGCTGGGACAACGGCTGAGGGGTCCCCAGGAGGCAGAGCGTGTGTCTGGCTGGAGCAGCCAGTGAACACTCTGGAATGGTGGCATGTTAACTGGATCGCGAAGGGCAGTGGGACTACAGCACAAATCGAAGAGGCAAAATTCCCTGTCCTCATGCAGCTTACAGTCTAGTGATGGCAGACAGACGATAGTCAAAACACAAAAGTAAATTCTTCAGTGTTAGAAGGTGGGTGTTAGCAATATGCATTATTAATAGTTATCACGAGGACACATACAATAATAATAGAAGACTAGCTACCAGCATGAAACTCCAGGAGGAAGATACAACTCTATGAGTAAAATGCTAAGTATATTGAAGGGAACAAAAACCCTATTTGGACTGACATGTAAGCTACAAAATCGTCCAGACATGTCCCAGCTTAATTTGGATTCTGTCACAAAGCAATACTGAGCTCGCCGCATTATTTCATAGCAGCGCGTGCATGAGTTCTCTCCAAAACCTGCAACATCTGCACCATGCTCCCGGTTCTAAGCCTTGAAAGGGAAATCTTTTTTGTTTTTTTAATTAAATTTATTGGGGGTGACAATGGTTAGTAAAATTACATAGGTTTCAAGTGTACTATAGTACATCACCTATATATCACACTGTGTGCTCACCACCCAGATTCAGTTCTCTTGAGTGGGAAATCTCCTTCGGATTACCCTTCCACTCTGGCCACACGTAGTAATCGGTCCAGTGACTGCAGGGGGCGCCCAAGAACCGTGGTAGCGTTCCACAGACCCCAGCCTTTGAAGTCCACCTGGATATTTTGCTAAAATATCAACAGACCGATTATTTTCTTAATTAAAAAAAAATCTATTTTAAAACGTAGAATAAATATATTTTCAAAGGACATTCAAAATCTCTGGCTTAAAGGGAAAACCAGTTTCGCTTGCTACTGGAGCAGATTTTAGGGGATTTAAAAAAGATCTCTACTCCCTCCCAGAAGAAATTGTGTTTCAGCTGAGATCTGTTCAAAGGGTAGAGAGTAACAGGCGGGAGCAAGGCCGGGTGTTGCCCCTGACCGTGACCTGCCTCCTCACACGCCCCTGGCTCCAGGGGCCTCCTGTGCTTGACCCACGTCCCCAGCGCCAGAGGGAGGGAATGAAGTGGAGGGAGCCTTTAATAGCAAATAAAGGTAGGCGATCATGGTATATTTAAAGAAATGGAAGAAAGGGGCTGAAACGGAAAGAGAAGGGCAAGAAATGAAGCTGTAGAGAAGCTAATCCCTCTTCCCACCGTGGGGGGGGGGTAGTAGAGGGAAGATGGGGGGGCAGTGAGGGGCCAGGCAGGAAATACAAATGAGTGATGGANATCATGGTATATTTAAAGAAATGGAAGAAAGGGGCTGAAACGGAAAGAGAAGGGCAAGAAATGAAGCTGTAGAGAAGCTAATCCCTCTTCCCACCAGCGGGGGGAAGGGGTGGAGAGCAGACTGCAAGGCCGGCAGGGGCCAGGCAGGAAATACAAATGAGTGATGGATGTTAGGGAGGGACTCCGCTCCATCCAGCTGACCATATTCAGCTTGTGCAGCTCCTCTCCAGCAGCTCACACCCCCAGCCAACTGTTGCCATGAGGGAATGGGGACCCAGTGCCACTTGAAGCTCCCCTTTTTTCCTAGAAGCCAGTAACCCGGGGTTTTGGGGTTTTTTTCTTTAATGTTAAGCCTTGTGATATTGAAACCACTGAAATTTATTCTAAAATAAATTCCAAACCTACTATGTATACCAACTATTAGATGGAGAGCTCTGGCCACCCCACCAATCTGTGACCTCTGGTAAACCTCCCCAGGTGCACATCTTCTGGAATGTTCTTATGGCCGAATTTCTGATTCCTAAATGAAATGGGGGAGGGGGGGAAATCCCCTAGGTTTCCTGAAGTAAACCTATGCAAATCAGGGACTCTTACTGAAAAATTTCCTCCCCAGGCTGTCTGATTACTCTCTCCCATACTCACCTCCTTCCGGCTCTAGTTCCATGATCAGCAGAATTCCCTTCATGACTCAGGATTTAATCTGTCCTTGAAAGCCTTCCTTGGTTATTGCTAACCTCTTCCATCTTTACATTCTGCACTTGTTACACAGTTGGTATTTTTCTAAGCTACCACCGTATCAGCCTTCTCCATCATAGTTCTTTGCAATCTTCTTATTGTGCTGGGGAACAGAAAATAGCGTCAAGTTTGTATTTGGCTCAACAAGTTTGTAGGTGATTTTATCATGGCCCTGTTTGAAATTCTTCATGGTCTTCCCATGCATTGCACAAAGGTATTGTTTAGATTCCTTGCCCAGGTGTAGCCTCTGTTTCTGACCTGATTTCATACCATCCCTCCCCTCATTCACTGTGCTCTAGCCCCTGGGACCTCCATTCTGTGAACACTGCCTGCTCCCTTCTGCCTCAGGGCCTTTGCAGTTGAGCAGCCCACTGTCCGTGATGCCCTGTCTCCTGTTATTCACCTGGCTAAATCCTACTCCTGTCACTCAGCCATCAAGAAAGCTTTCCTTAAACATATTCACCACCCAGAAAGAGCAACAACCCCCCCCCACACACACACACACACACTTTTAACACCCTTAAAGCCCTCCACCAACAGGAGGTAGCTGCTTCACAAATATTAGCTAATGAATAAATAAATGCATGAAAGAAGGAGTGACTGTATATTTAGGGATGAATGCAGTAATATATAATACAATATAGCTGTGGGTGAATTCATTCAGTAACAATGTGCAAGAGTCCATAGCGCATTTCCATTCCATTCACTTTTTTTTTTTTTTTTTTTATGCTAGACCTAGTATTGTGCCTCTCACACAAATTCTAATTGTGTGGAATCATTGCCGAAGCAGCCCTTCCTTTCTTCACTAGGTGACGCTGTGACTCCGGAATCTGACATTTTATTGTTCTCGGGAACTGTCCACGTTCTTGTCTACACTCTGCAAAGCAAGATTGCACAAAATCAAGGAAACCTCTCTGGCTTTGGGCCAAAATATAATCATCTTTTGCTTGTTTGAATTCTTGCCTTCATTTTTACTTGGCAAAAGGCAAAGCATTTTCCAGAACCCTCAAATGTACACACTGATTTTAGGCCTTTATAAAATAGACCATTCACTAACCTGTTTACTGCAAGGCACATGCTCACAGAGATACTGAGAATGAGTCAGAACTTGTAATATGGAGCAATCGCAGCATGTCTTCGAATTAAAACATAAATTTCCTAGTGTGATTCATTCAGAAAGGATTTACTCAGAACCTCATAAGCACCTAGCACTGAGCCAGGCAGCCTCTTCCCACAGATTCCTCTGCTCATAAGAGGACCTGTGTGGCAGTGAAGTGGGCATCTTATATATTTGTGATCTCCTAATACCTCTTGAATACTTTTCTCTATATTTGGGGACATTTCCAGGTCATGAGTGTTGCCATTCCACTCTAGAAGTCAGAACTCAATTTCCTGGCATCCTTTAAGCTAGGATGCAGGCCTGGGGGGTCTAAGCCCAGCCAATCAGATTCACCAGCGGGAGACTTGATCGGAGAGAGCAAGGAGGTGCCGTGTGCCAGGGGGAACCCATGCCCGTGGTCAGGGCAGCCTGGCAGAAGAAGCTTGAGTTCCCTGAAACAGCAAGAAGATAGGTGCTAGCGGGATGCTCTGGCCTCGGTGACTCAGGCCCGGAGGTGCTGGGATCATAGCTGCAAGCAGGCCTGCAAGGTCATTTCAATGTCATTCCTAATTGTTTGCCTCCTCCGTGGATTCCTCGGCCCTCACAAAGGGTCTGTGCACGTTCAGCCCCACTTTTCTTCTGCTGATGATCCTTACAGGGAGCTTCGTTGCTTGACACAGAGCCCAGAAGAGATACCATTTTTAGAGAAACGTTATTCCTTTGTCATCGTAAATCCAGCCAAGACGATCAGGATGGGATGGAAAGACAAAAAGCTGCTGAACTTAGCTGCGGAGGTGAAATTCTGTCTGAAGCAAAAA